GGCCACAACCAAGGTACATGCCCTTGACTGGAATCGAACCTGGGACCCTTGAGTCCGTAAGCTGATGTTCTATCCATTGAGCCAAACCAGTTAGGGCCATTCCTCTTTCTTTTCCCTTCACACTTACTGCTTTATAGTTGGGCAGACTCATCTAAGAGGCCGCTCTAACAACCCTCTGCTGGTTCCTGGCCTTTTACTGCTTTGAGAAGCCAACACAAAGGTTTGCCTTAGGAACTCCCTCAAGCTTGCCTCCCAGAATGGGTTACACAGCCAAGCAACTATTAGACTGGCCAGGGAAAGGCATTGGAAGCTGGTAAGTACGTACAACTATTTACCGAGCATCTGCTATTTAAGCACTTGTACAAATGTCATAGGGGCTAAGGGGAGTCTTACTCTCAGAATGCTAATGACCTAACTTGGGAAATTGAGCCAGAACACCAATTTCGAGTAACAATGTTACTCAACTCATTTTTCAGAACATACCTTAACCAAGCTGGGGCTTTGGGTGGCAGAAACTTCTTGTCTAGGGTGGAAAGTGCAGAAGTCTGACTCAGATCGAAAGGTCGGGGGTCATACCAGCAGCCAAAGGAAACAACTGAATGGGAGGGCAAGGCCATCCTTCCAAAAGGCACTACCCCCACCACACCCCCGTCAGACACATGTCTTCCCCACAACCCCTACATCTTCAAATCTGCACAAGTGTCCATATTCTCTACCAGAAAATTGCCATCCAACCTACCCAATGAACAGTTATATCATTTTAAGTGATTATTATAAAGACCATGTGACAATAGAGGAAAATGCTTATCCGACATGTTAAATTAAAAATGCAGCACACAAAATGCCATGTAAAGAACTTTTGTTAGGCTACTTGGATTGTATGAACATATATATATTTAATATATTTTTGTTGATTTCGGAGAGGAAAGGAGAGAGAGAGAGAGAGAGAGAGAGAGAGAGAGAGAGAGAGAAAGAAATGATGAGAATCATTGATCGGCTGCCTCCTGCATGCCCCCTACTGGGGATCGAGCCTGCAACCTGAGCATGTGTCCTTGACTGGAATCGAACCCAGGACTCTTCAGTCCACAGGCCAATGCTCTATTCACTTAGCCAATTATTGATTTCAGAGAGGAAAGGGGAGAGAGCGAGAGAGAGAGAGGGAGAGAGAGAGAGAAAGAGAAATGATGAGAATCATTGATCAGCTGCCTCCTGCATGCCCCCTACTGGGGATCGAGCCTTCAACC